AGATTTATTCAGCACATCAGCTATGCTATTTTCTCTAAAGTCTCCATTTCCATCTTCTTCCTCTTATCCGTAGTCGGGTCGCAGAGGCAACAAGTCCAGGAGAGAAACCCAGACTTCCCTCTCCCCAGTGACACTTTCCAGCTCGTCCTGAGGAACTCCGAGACGTTCCCAGGCCAGAGGGGATACATAATCCCTACAGAAAATCCTGGATTTTCTCCAAAGTGTCAGACATATTTTGAAAACATTTTAAAATGCTTATTTCAGAATCGCAACTGACACCATTTGAGCTCTTTTTATTCCACAGCTGACCTGCTAAAAATGACAGATTTTCTTTTCTGGATCTCTGACAGACGGACTTCAATCTCTGAACTCGTAAAGTTCTTCTTTTTAATTTTCGCTGTCATTTTCATGAATGGACACTTCCTTGTATCTGAGGCAGGAAACATAGCCTTATATGGTGTTTCTGGGGTGGTAATTATGCTAATCTCCTCTCGCGTGCACGAGCAGCTGGATACGAACAGGTGGAATTTACGCAGCTCATTTACACCCTTTTCCTGAAGATAGAAGAGTTTGTTGAATCTGACGTGACATGTTCGTACGAATCCTTCGTACGAACAAAAGTAAGAGAAATTTAGGATAAGAGTATGAACATGTTCTTGCATGAGGCCCATTGTCTCAAATGGAAACTATTGTGAGAATGTAAACATAATTTATTGACTTGAAATTTTCTGCAGCTAGCACCTCCCTGTCTTGAATTATGACTAAGATTAATATTTATATTTGAAAAATAAAGGTGCTTCCTGGCCCTGACCCCCTGCATCTTCAAACCCCGCCAAAAACAATCAGTCCAACCAATCACGTCTTTAACAAACTTTGCCCACAAATCAAACAGACCAATCATGTCTTTAACAAACTCCTAAAAAAACAAGAAACTCCCACTTAGTAACTGCAGAGACCCCCTTCGAAAGGTGGAGCGTTGATGTAAAAACAATCAAAGTCTTACGAGGATCCAATTACTATTTTTTTAAATGTGTAAAATATAACACTGGATTTCGTGTACATCTACTGTAGTTCCTTGATAAATGCTTCTTATAAAAAAAGAAGGCATCCAATGAAGTTTTTCCTCCCAGAGATCACTCGTTACATTTTTCTCCGCACAATCCTTTCTGTATTTGCCAYGAAGACTGCTTTCCGAGCCTCCGCCACCTTGAATGCTGCGGCATAAAGATATGCAGCTACAGTAGATCCTGGAGTTCGTATTGTTCGCTCGTCTACAAGGAGACAGAGTGCAGCGGACACAGATATTGATCAAAAATTCTACATCACAATAAAGCTMCACTCAGCATTCTGAGCCTCTGCATTGAGTTGTAGAAGCTGATGGGGAAGGACTGGTGATTAAAAATTGACTTCTTTCCTTTCTCGCACAAACACATAGGAAGTTAGCAGCGGGCTACAAATTCATACTTTAATTATACAATTTAAAAAGAACTAAATCTAATTGTAGCATATTAAATTTAGATTCCAGAGGTAATGCATTACTCAATGAACCATAATAAGCCGAAGATTTAGCTGCTGTAAGCATGATTTTTAAAAAGGTTTGTCAAAGCTACTGTTCAAAGCCATAAAATGATTTTACCTGAAACATAAATAAAACTTTTGACAGCATTCTTTATGTTTGGTGAATGATCACTGTAGAAGCTCTTCCCGTGTAGCACATACRTTTAACCTTCTGGGTTTTAATTAAGTCTTAGAAGTCATTTTATCACTAGCTTCTGGGCTGTGAGTGCTGGCGGGGTTTTGACATTTTGTTTTTACACGTTGCTGTTAGCTAGAAAACTCCCATTAAAGAGCATTTTTAAAGATTACAAGAAGGTTTCATTCCTTGAAAAAAAAAGCATAAATAAATTAGAGGCAGTTTCAAACTTCTTGCACAGTACTGCACGAGCACCAAGTTTGGACTTAAAGTAGGTATTACAGTGAAAGTATAGCTGAGATGTTGGAGAGAAATCACTTGCTGTGCCAGTATTTCTGCCAGACATGAAAGTACCTGCCAGTGGATAAGACTGTGAAGCAGACGGGATCACAGCCRTCATCAGGTTTCTGCCATATGTGTTCCAAGGCCCAACACAGTGTCATCAAACATCACAGCAAACAGACCACGGTGTCTCTCTGAATTAAACAGGCATGTTAATGAATACTTGTCAAGGTTGGCTGAGTAAAATCAAAGCAGCATATGTCTTCTTTAGGTTGAAGTTTCATCTGTCGGTGGCTTTGCTGGATCTCTATGATTCACAGATGGCAGAACACATTTTTCCTAACGAYTGTTCCAGAAATATCAGTTAATGTGACGTGCAGACGTCACGGAATATTCCAACTCAATTAGTTTCATTTTACAAACCATCATAAYGAATTAGCAAGTTTCTATTTGCTTCAAAATTCTATTATTATTTTTTTTACCATGCATGCATCACTCCTAGAGATGTACCTGCAGTAGTGAGGCAGAGCTCCTCGTCACTGTTGTCCTGACAGTTGTCCTGGCTGTTGCACAGGAAGCTGCGGTCTACACATCGCCCGTTTCGACACTTGAAGCGAGCCTCGGAGCACACCAGGGGATTGCCTGCTGTGGACGAGTCAAGGCAGAGATCAAGTGGAAACAGTTAGCTCACACTAACTGTGTTGGAGAAACATGAGGCTATTTGTCTGAGAGTCATATTCTGAGAACCAGACCTCAGCGTATAAACAAATTAGTTAAAAGCAGACATGAATTATTCATTTGGGCCAGTTGATTTGGCAAGCTGCTAAAAGGTTTTGCACATTTCTTGCTGTTGATCTCATACCAACAACATTAAAGTTGTGTGAACTGGTTAAACATTTGATCAACAAAGTCAGATAAAAGATAAAACTCAAAAGCCAMAAAAAGAGGAGAAACATTTGAGATCTTGCTGCTCCTTTTAGTCTCATGTTCAGGGTTTTTTCTGGGTTCTGGCTCCTGGAAAAATAGGGCAWAATTATCTTGTGAGAATATCTGGACAATTACACAGTCATGACGCAGTTTGWGAGGCGAACATGGGGCAAAGCTCCGTTTTAATGGATAGATTAGATTTGTGAGCATGAGCCCTGCAAGCACAGAACTATGTCTCTGACAATGTCAAGCGACTGGTCTGATTCTCATATCCCACTGGAGAGGYGGCCAAAAGGCTGTGTGTGAACAAACTATACACTGCAGGGACCTGCAGGAGCTAAAATATTGAGCTGATCACATCTTATATTAGTCAAAAGCTTTTAATGTCAGCACAAAATAAGCAGCCCTGAATACAGCGGGTAAAATAAGTATTGAACACGTC